TACCTGTAAAAGGGGGACTAGTATCTATATATCACAGGGTTTGTGTAGGGATCAAGGGAGACAAAATCTTTAGAGTTCATTCTAGTCCAACCTGCTCATTTTAGAGATGAGGAAAATGCCCCTCGTTTCTCCTCTCCCCTCCCCCCACAAATACTAAGTATTAGAGGTAAAATTCAAACTCAGCGTTCATCAAAAGGCTTTATACATTCAATACCGATCTCTCATATGAGCTTCAGTCCCACATTACCAACTGCCTGCTGGGTATTTCAAACTACATGTGTTAGAGACATTCAAAAGTCAACACATCCAAAAGAGAACTCCTCACTCTACATATAAAATCAGTGGCTCAATCTTGCTGATATTACCTCCACAGAATCTCTCCTATCTGATGCCCTCTCTCTATTCGTGCAGCTACCACCTTCGTTCAACAGCTCAGTTGATTAATGTTGAGTTTTCCTCACTGTTGCTCAGTTAAGGATAGAGGTCCAGACAGGAGGCTAAGAAGGTGTCTGAGACCACAGCTTCAAATAAAGGAATGGCAGATTCTTGGCAAGCGAGGAGGCTGGTAAGAGTGTACTCACCAGGGGTCTTGCAAATCTAATCAAAATGGCTTTAAACTAGAAAGACTGAAAGTGAAGGGAGAGAAGACTGCCTACGTACACATGCACACATCATTCAGTTAGACCCCATAAAGAGTAACTGCAAGAATACCATTTGAAATGCCCAGAAGTTCACAGGAGACAACCCCTAAGAAAGGAACTGGTAGTTAAACCTGGTCTAAAATCTCCATATACAAACAATGAAGGTTTGGGCAAAAAGCAAGAACTCTAGGTCCTAATGCAATGGAGGCAAATTTGACCTCATAACTATCCCTGAGACCTTGGGGAATAAAAACCACAACTGTAATATGGCTCTGGATGAGTAGACTTTATTCAGAAAAGAAACAGGACTGGAAAATTGGGAGTGGAATGGCATTACATAATATGAAGGTATAGTCGAGTGGGGACCATGGTGGAGATCACTTGGGCTTAGGTCTGAGGACAGAAAAGGTGGGTGTAAAAATGTGTCACAGACCTATCAAAATAGCGTCAAGAGTCCTAGAGTTCAGAATGAACTGGCAAGGGAAGCCAAGGATGGCAGGAAGGGGTTGTCGGGTTTATTTCATTGAGCTCTATTAGGAGAAAAAGGAGGATCAAAGAAGGAATAGGAGCCACAGCTTGGGTTGGATGGAATGATGACAGACAACGACGAGAAGGCAGAGCCGGCTGCTCAATTCCTCTTCTGCTTTCCCTGCCACGGACAATGAAGGAACCACACACTGAAAGCAACAGAACAAGAATGAGCAGGAGGCTCTTGATGGCCAGATTAAGGTGGTCTGTGACATCTCCTGGTAACCTGGCCCAGACGAGCTAAGTGGTCAGGTAGTGCAAGAAAGGGCAGACACAGTGATATTTGAAAGACTGGGGAAATTGGAAGAGGTACCAGGTGATCAGAGAAGGCCAAAGGTCAGGGTTAGGGTTTTTCCCCCAAAGAAGGGGAAGAGAAGGAAGTTTACAAAATATTGGCCAGTGAGCTTTGCCTTTATTTCTGGGAATATTCCAAAATAGCTCATCATTAAGGAAAGAGTTAGGGAACACCAAGAAAAGAAGGTAGCTAGATCATTAAGAGCTGGTATGGCTTCACCATAGACGGACCAACTTTATTTCCTTTTCTGAAAGGATTACCAAGCTAGAAAAAAAGAGGAGAATGTTATAGGTAGAGTTTGCCTAAATGTTAGGAAAGCATTTGATAAAATATTTCGTGCCATTCTTGTGGAAAAAATGGAGAGATGTAAATTAGAATAAGAGTCCCATCAGATGGATTCAGAAGTGACTGACTGAATGGACTCATTCATGGCTCCATGTCAACTTGACAGGAGGTCTGCAGTGTACTGCCCCCTCCCCCCAGGGATCTGTGCTTGGTCCTCTACTGTTTTTACATTTTTATCAATGCTTTGGATAAAAGCCTAGATGGAATGTCTATGGCATCTGCAGGTAACAGTAAGCTGGGGATGACAGCACCTAAAAAGGTTCTGCCTGGTAAGGGCCTTAGGAGGAGTCTCCCAAGATGGAATTCAACAAGGATAAACGACAGGTCTTATACTTGGGTTCAGATGGAGGAAGAAGCTGCTTACCTGAAAAAGATCAAGGAATGGACCGGAAGCCTGGTGTGACTCAAATATATGGCAGCCAAAACACCAATGGAATCTTGGCTTGTGTTACTTCTGTACCCTGCTCTCATCAGACCACATCTAGAGTGCCATGTTCATCTCTGAACATGAAATGGAAGGAGGGCATTGAGAAGCTGCAAAGCTTCCCAAAGAAGGCAACCAGCATGATAAAGGCCCCCTAGTCGATGTCACATGAGGATTGGCTGAAAGAACAAGAGATGTTTAGTCTGGAACGTATTGAGGTGAGGGGCGAGGCATAATAAATGTCTTTAAGTTTTTAAAGGGCTGTAACAAGCAGGAAGGATTAAACTTGTTCTGTTTGTTCTAAGAGGGCAGCACTGGAGCCAATGGGCAAATATAAGCTTGGTATCAAGAACCACTTCCTAACAAACAGAGTTGACTAGAGCTTGAATGGGCTGCCATGGGAAGTGGGAGGGGATCCCCCTCCTTGGGGGTATGTTGTCGTGAGGATTCTCTGTGTGGATGAGGTGGTGGCTGGGGTTCATCTTCTGCACACCAGACCACGTCCAGCACCCTATCCTAGCGGTGGAGCTCAACGCCAAAGGGTCACGGAACACCTAAAGCTATGTCTAAATGAGGTCAAGAGTCACCAGTTTACCTGCTTGTTCCCACCATCAGATAACACAGAAAACCACAAACCAATGGCTTGACCAGGCTTACTGAATTGTTGCAACCAAAATGGCTGGCCTCTAGCCCTCATGCAGACACAAGACTAAAATGACTTTCACATTTTACCAGATCAACCCAGACTCCATTGCTGATAGGAAACTATTTGGTTTGGGAGGTCTGTTACCCTGATTGTCGCATATTTTCACAAGGGCTATTGTCTTTGAGGCATACTCTAGTCATACCTCCCCGAATGTCCTCATTGTCTGAAAATGTCGAGGTACCAACAAAGCTGGTGTTTTTATAGCTTGCAGAGCTATAAATCATTTTTAAAATCATGATGATATTACTCAAAGCAGATGTGAAAACAGATGTTTGCCATAGTCATATAAACTGCTTACTTGTCATACTTAATAAATGTTGATACTCCTACTTCTACTATATTCCCTTTTAATAACTAAAAATGTATTTGAGGAAAATATATTTTGTCTTAATAAACGAAATGGAAGTGGTATGACATAGGAAATGCCATTTGCAGGAAAGCTTTTCACTCTATCCACAGCAAGGCTCAACATGCCACCCTGTATATTAATGTCCTCACCAGGATGTAAAGATGGGACCAACCTATTTGATTGAAATGGGTAAAAGTGTGCTGTTTCACAGCAAGAGATTTTGAAATGCCAGTACATACCACTGGGTAGCTTATTAAAATCAGCTGTCATACATCAGTCCTAGCGCTCCAGCTGACTGTTCATAAGACTCGACAACAAGTACCTCAGAACACAGGCCAAATCCTAGATTTAGGCCTCCTGGTTTGTGGGCAATTTGCAGTGATGAATCCTATGTCTCTTTCACTTCATGAGACCACCCCCAGAAAAACTGCTTTCACAGTCGGAATGTCCTTCAAGTCGCCATACAGCTGGACACAAATAAAAGTTCTCAGAAAACAAAATTTCCTCAGGACATAGATGCAAAGTTATACTATAAACTCCAATCTGATTGCCTTTTTGAGTACACGTCATTCCGTTACTATGAATTGAATGCAGGAGTTTAATATACTCCACCTAGATTGAGAGACAGACAACTACTCGGAAATAAATCATTTGCATCTTGGAGCCCCATAGGGTATAGCCCTTCAGTGTTTGGCTGAAAAAAGACTTAACATGTGGCAAGGAAATCAACCATCGATCAATGAAATGAAAACCATGCATTATTCCAAATCCAAACTAAAATGCTCATCCATATAATTAGTAAGCAAGTGCAGTAAGTTGAATCCAGCAAGGACTTTCCAATTTCTCTGTTAACCCTTGAGCTCAACGAGAAGAATGTCTGAACCTCATAAAGACAGTGAAGAGCTTCTTTTGCTTATGTACAAAGAGACCATCTAACTATCTTGGGAGACTGTAATAAACCACTTAGTAGTTGACATTCTTTAGCCTGGAACGAGGGCCTCACCCTCAATGACAGCTTTATGAGGTAAACCCTCCAGCCATGGCCATCAATATGTTGATAGATTTCCCTTTGTTCCATCAGCTTCAGGATTAGAAGCAGATCTGGATTCAGCTACCATGGCAGCAATGGCGTGGTTAGTAAGCCTCTTCTCTATGCACAAATCTCCCAAGGGGACCGGGGGGGGGGGGGGGTGCAGGAGGAACTGAATGCTGTACTAAAGGCAAAAGTGCTCATAAAAGCAGGAGCAAGGCCAAGATGATTTTCATAAGACTTCCATGGAAAGACTCAATGGATATATTTGATTAGTGACCTTTAAACACACAACCACAAAGGAAAAACCAGGCTTTGGAGTCACAAGAACTTACCGATTTTAGTTACCAATCTTGCTGTCATGTATAAAAGTAAACAAGACCTATATGATGTGGCATCTATTAAAAAAGAGGTGGCCCAAATAGCCCCGTGTATTCCTACTGAAAAAGGGGGAGCCTTTTTGGTATAAGAACAATGGGACTTCAGGATTCTTCTCTATAGTTCATAAGCCAAAATAAACAAGTTCTTTTAATAGATACATTACAGCCAAGCCCAAGATTTGCCTAAAGCGGAAAGGGTTCTTTACAAGTGGTGACAAAAATGAAAATGCAATGCTGAGTAGAACATCAGCTGAGTGTACGGTCTTGCAACGTATATGCCACAAACAAAGAAAAGATCTTACCTTTCTCCTTCTGGTGCTTTTTTGCATTCGATCCATTATCTTGATCAGTGAACTCTCCCTCTCTATTGGCAACCATCATAGCTACAGAGAAGAAAGAGCACTAAGTGATATTAGAAAAAAGGAAACTGAAAGACAAGAGAAACTCACAAATGATTAAAGGATTTCCTTTGTATTAGCATGGTATTCATTTCTACATTTACTTATAAGGTAATTCTACTCAACATGCATTTATTAAGCACTCACTGTGTGTGAAATAGTCAATATGGTATAGAATCAGAGGCATCAGAAAGCCTCACCTCTGACCCACCCTGACTGTGTGACCATGGGCATGTCACTCAACCTCTCAGTGGCCCCAGAAAATTCTCCACTCTACACTGCAGAAAAGGAGGGGAGGTGACAATTTGCATAGGCAGGGGATACACAGAACTGCAGAAATGTACTATATGTCTACAAAAATCACATACGCATACATATAGTACATTTCTATCATAAATGGTATATTTTCTTTTTTTTTCATTTATTTTTATCTTGAACAAAACAAACATTAAATAAAATGGGCATAGTCCACAAAGGTCTATTATCTACAGCTTGTGCCTCTTTCTAAATATATAATAATTCAACTTTCAAATATATAAAAATTCAGCTTTCAAAGTTTTCCTCCTTGTCTATGACTTGTTCTGGCCTTCCTTCTGTTCTCTTTTGTGCATTTTGAAAAGAAGATGCCTGAGAGAACATCTTTTCTTTCTTTTCTTTTTCTATTTTATCTCCCCACTCCCTTCCCTGGCTCCTATGGAAAACAAACAAAGAAAAATAAGGCCCTTCTAACAAATACACAGTGTCAGACAGAACAAATTCCCCCCCTGGCCATGTCCAAAAATGAATGTCTTATTTTATCTATATATTTTCTGGAAATCTTTTTGAAAAGTGAACCATTTGAAATTCTGACTCTATTAAATACTAACCTACCCTCCAATTGACTTTACAAATAACTCGTAATGGACATAACGGACATGAGAGAGATCCAAATTTATGGGTGACAGGTCAAAGACTTGTGTTGTTGAATAAACACTGAACATTCCGTGGAAAAAAAGTAAAAAGAACTCTGATTCTAGAGTGTCTACTTTCTTTGTTCTCCATTTAAATATCCATTCTCTGCAATGAGAAATGTCACCGAGAATTGAATCTAGAACTTTGATTTAAAGTATTAATATAAGAAATCCCTTTTGTCATTGCCCTTATATCTGTTTGAACAAGTGGGAAATATGTAAAATAAATCCATCATCAGTGTTCCTCCATGACTACAGTTCAATATGTTTACAAAATATCTGAGAGATATTCGATATTGGGTTTGATGCGACTGATCAAGAGAGAAAGAAGATGGCTCCTTTGCTCTCTGTGAAGTCATTGCCATGCTTGTTTTCAGATACAGCGGCTACCAGAACCTTGGGTTGCATTTCTAATAGTGAGGATCCAACTCTTTATCAAACGCACACCCTTATGTGAGACTGGTGAGGTCACAGCCATGGAGCACAGAAACACTAACGGCCTGTGCAAGGGTGACACTCACCACCTTAACCTCATTGGTGCCAATCCCTAAGGGGCCTTAAACACCCTAAGAGGCAGTGACTGGCCCAGTGAGTGCTCATAAACCTGCCTCTTGGAGTTCACCCAGAAGAAGACATGCCTGTTTCAGCAGGAACCCAAATCCTGTTACCAATTAGAGAGTGAATGTGCTTTTCCCTGAAGATCTCGAGGTATCTTTCCTTTTGCTATGGTAGGATTGTCAGTGTGATGGGTGACAATCCTTCCTGGCTCTATGGCTCTCTAAGTCTCATATACTAAATGGCATTTTGCTACTCCAGCAGCTAAATTCACCTCCAGATGGTAAGCAATTTACTTCCTACACCTGGGTAGGCTCAGGCAGCATGAGAGCAGGAAGACAGGGAGCAGAAGCCCATACAGAAGCAGTTTAGTGGTGCTCCTTGTATGAGACACAGATTATGGAGGGAGACTCCTGATGGCAATAACCAATCTAGCTCTGAAGGAAGGACAGGATGCCTTTAGTAACTGTGAGAGAAACAATCACATTTGTAGCAAATCATACAAATCTGCACTACTCCCATCATCTCCCCTTCTCATCATCAGCTCCTTAAGGGGCATTTGACTTTCTACTTCTATTACATGGCAGGGCATTGAATGTAGTGAGTATGTGCCATGCCCACCCTGAGAGATTAAAGAATATGGTTGCCTCCCCACAGCCCATCCCACCATCAGCCCATTTTCCACAAGAATAGCTCAAATGTCGCGAGCTAGGCAGGAAGAGATACTCACCAAATCTCTCCGGGGTATGATCCATCTGAGAAGGAGAGCTGGACATGCTGCTGCTGTGATGAGAAGACTCAAGGCTCACAGGGCAAAGGCCCTCATCCAAAGAAGGAGCAGGTGAAGGGCTCTCCTGAATCCTCTCCTTTAAACACAAACAGAAATCATTTCTGTGTAAGAGGAGGAATGTTCAAGCTTTGCTTCTGGAGGACCAAGTCAAGCAAGACACTTGGAAAAATCAAATCATTTATTTGGCATGACATTATAAGTTCCATGTCTACAGGCAGAAAATGCTTGGCCTTAGTGGCACAGAGTTATGTGAAGTAGATTACCATTCTTGTGCATTAATTAATTTTAATGTGCCAGGCAGGTTTCATATTTGCCACAAATTGGAAGGGTTTCTGTCTGTGTGCCTTAAATAAAAATTTTCAAAACATACACAGAGTGAATGCTAGTCTTAGGGATCTCTAGAAATTTAAGAGGGCCCCTTAAATCTTATTAACTCAAATGAGTGACTAAGTAAAAATGGATTTTTCCATGATGTAAAGATGTCCCCGGATAGGTCCGGAACCTACAAACAGTGATTTCTGATCCATGCTGGTAACTTCTACATAAAAAAGACAAGTGATAGTCTAGAAGAACTCTAACCCAGCTTGCCTCTCTGATGTCAGGGACTGATTTTGTGACCTAAGACGTTTTAGAAACTATGCCTGGCCATCACAAGGGTGTGATGAGTTATTAGATGCAGTGCCAAGGCTAGTGACAGAAACAAGACAAGAGAACAAAACTGAAGGTGAAGCACAGGCCAAAAGGAGACAAAACTAGCCCTATCTGCAAATGACACAGTGGCATAATAACAATAACAACACTGATCTAGTGCCTTCTATGCACCAGGCACTGTGCTAAGCCCTTAATAGTTATCTCATTTGATCCTCACAATCCTGGGAAGTGTTATTATTATCCCCATTTTACATAGGAGGAAACTGAGGCAAAGAGATTAAATGACTGGGCCAAAGTCACATAGCAAGTAGTAAATTCTGAGGTTCAATCTGACCTCAGGCCTTCCTGATTCCAGGGCTGGCGCTCTACCCACTGTGCCACCTAGGTCACCATAAGTGTGCTTAGAAAACTCCAGAGTATCAGTGAAGAAACTGAGACAATTAACGAAGTTATCTAATGAAGCTATAAAAAATAAATCAGCAGCATATATTTAAAAAAAAAAACGGAAGAAATGATAAGAAAAATTCCATTCAAAATAAATGCAAAATATTTCAAATAGCTGGGAGTTAACCTACCAACACACACACGGAGGATTCATATAAATCTAACTACAAAACATTCTTGACAGAAATAAAAGGAGACAAGTAATTGGCGAGATTGCTTGCCCTTTTTCACATGAATTTTTCAAAGGCTGCACAAACAATTTGGAAATCCCCTGGGAAGAGTGGATTTGTCTAATGCAGATGTATAACATCGAAAATTTGCTACTTTACATGTAGAGCCCCCATTTTGCAATATAATACCTCCTCATCATAATCATGTGCATATTTCTTACATATCTATTAAGCCTCAATTAGTGTGTTATATAATCATCTGGTATTTAATTAACACTTAATAACTTTAACGAAATGAATAGCAGTCATTGAATAGAATAGCTATAGCTCCGTATGCTAATTAAATACCAGCTGATCATTTTAAAAGTTTATCTCATTTTAAGAGGCATTCAGCTACTATTGGGCCCCCATTACAGGGTTCTGTGATCCCTGCCCTTTACTTTTAAATTTCAGCTAATATGCAGCACTACACCTAATTGTGAGGAAGGAAAGGTCAAAAGAAAGAAAAAAAAAAAAGAATAGGCTGGGATCCTGTGATGAGTTATAATGCCAGCAGGATCACTTTTCCAAGACTTGCCTGGCCTATGTGCTACAAACGAAACCATTAAAAAGCTCATAGTTTCCTTTAAAAATATTATTTCTTCAATTGTGAAACAGCTCAAAAATCCCGGTTTTGCCATTTATTTTCTAAATAGTTGTGCATATTGGGGGGGGGGTGTATACAGATATATCTATAAGCCTTCATTGGCTCTGTGCCAAAATCCAAGCATAAAGTATCAACCATTTGTCATTCAGTTTTGAATTCAAAAATTAGAAATTTGCTGGGAAAATGTGTGATTTACTGAACTGCATTTCTGCATAAGTGAACCAACTTACATTCCACATTCAGCAATATATGCCACCCTTTGATGGAAAATATTGGAATGATTCAGAAGGTGATGATGTGGAAAAGGAAAGAGCTCTAGCTGACAAGATCAGCTTTTGCTCATTCTGCCTGATGTTCAATCAAATCTCCATTCTAAATAAAGTTTTCAGAAAGACAGAATCTATGAGTCGAAAGTGGTGCTAAGAGTAATTAAAATAGGTCCCAAGGCCAGAATATGGTATCTCTGAGAACTCTGTACATCCTGAAATGACTAAATAATCTTGAGACACATTATTTACTTTGAAAGCTGCCCTCTGCCATTTTCAACAGCCCATTCTCATGTGACATGATGAACTAACTTTGGCAAAACAATTCATGGTGTGGTGATTGAGAATGACAGTCAGATTTTCCATGGAGCATTTCTTTCTGCATGACGGTTTTGCATCCAGCAATTTCCCAATTTCAGAGGGCTACAGTTTCTCTTAGACAGTGCTAGAGCATATTATCAACATGCAAACTGCTTTCACCAAGGCCCAAGTCTCATCATTGATTAAGAAATCGTCTATTTGCAAGCATCCTTGTGGCCGTGTGAGGCTGAAGAGCCCCATGCCTACCTTCTTCCTTGCAAGTAAACAGATCCATTTTTCAGCCTGTAATCAGTATGCATCTAGTTAGCTACTTAACAGCAATGTGCCTCGCTTCATTAGGTAGCTACTGTGGCGGCTCAGCCTAGTTAAAATTTCACAGCAAGTTAATCTGTTTTATTACAAATGAGAACACAAGTGATAATATCCCCACCATTTGCCAAACACAGGGTTAACAGTATTTGTATCAAATCAATGAGGCCATTGAAATAGGAAAATTGCAAATGAACACCCCCCCCAGATTTTTTACACATTGATGACTTCATTTGATTTGTCATTTATAAATTTTACAATCCTGTTCCTGTTAATATCCTTGAGGTTGGTGGGTGTTGTTTTTTTTTTTTTTTTTAATCCCTGCATTAAAGAGCTCACTGTTCCATCCAAAGCCATGCAGCCCAGTTTTCCACAGATGCACTTAGAGCAGAAGGCAGGGCTACTCTGAAACACGTTTTGCCAGTTATACATCCCCCATCAGCCTTTCCTATGATTCTTAAATGTCATCTCTGAGGCTGGAGTTGGACACTGGTCTAAAAGTTCATTTATAAAATCTATTTTTAAAGTCTGGAATCTTACAGGTCTGTCTACTCTGTCTTGTCTTTCCAGTGAGGGGCCACAAAAGTTCAGAAAAAGTGTTGAGGATATTAAATCCCTTGGAAAAACTATCTAGTGTTGGACCATATATGTAACTACAAAGCTCAGTATTGTTAAAGTTTAGTCCCTCTCCAGGCTGCTGGCACTGAAGTCACTAAGTCTGCCCATTTTGAGGAATGTCTTTGAATTCACCCCCATACATCCTTTTGTAATAGAGCATACAAAGGGCATACAAAAAGCACTAAAATCACAGTGCGACAGAATTCTACACATGTACACAGTCATTTGAATAACTGCTTTAATGATGATTTGTTGACTCTGATACAATGTGATATTGACCCTTATCAAACATTTAGTGGGCTGGATGATATATAGCCTATCTTTTTTTTTTCCTTTTATTTAATTTGAATTCAACTGCTACTGTAATTCCTCTTCCAAATGTTAATCTATTAATGAGCTCCTGAAGGATTTAATGGCATTTCACTGCTGATGAGTTCGTTTTGGAAGTTTGTCTGAATGCTAGATATTTTATTCATACATTTATCTTGATATTTCATATTTAATTGATGGGCTCCTTCTGTGCTGTCACCAGGACTCTGCAGAAGCATAGCAGCTTGGAACTCAGCAGACCTTGGTAATAAAACTAGTGACAGGCAGAAAGTGTCTTTGCTGGCCTTTATTTGTTCCCAGGCAGAAGTGGAAGGCTAAAAGTGGTAGCAGTGCAGAGAGTCGAAAGCAGTGCTATAACTGACAACAATATCTAACACCAAGAGCCATTCCCCAGTACATAAGTGGTGAAAAGATATGAGCAAACCATAAAAGACCATGTGGAAACATGCTCCAAACCACTAATAATAAGAGAAATGTACATTATAACTCTAAGGCTTTGCCTCAGACTGTACAAATTGCTAAAGATGAAAAAAGGGCACAGTCAGTGTTAGATGAGCTATGAGAAACGAGGCACATTTTTGACTAAGCCATGAAATGATCCAACCATTCTGGATTTCATTTTGGAATAAGAGAAAAGTGACTAAACCTCCTATACCCTTTCACCCAGCAAGCCCATTAATAGACCCATCCAACCAAGGAATTCAAAGACAGAAAGACAAAGGTGGACTGTATACCAAAATATTCACGGTAGCACTCTTTCGAGGATCAAAGTAGGTGAGTGTCCACTGATGGGGAATTGGCTGAAATTGTTATATATGAACATAAAATATTATTACACTATAAGGTCAGAAATGATTGACATAAATAATTCAGATACATATGGGAATGTGTGCATAAATGGATGTGGAAATAAATAAAACTGTAAAGGTAGGAGAGGGCCAGATTATAGAGAGCTTTAAAAGCCAAGCAGAGAATTTTTACATTTGGTCTTGGTATTCAGAAAGTCATGGGAGAAACAATGCCTTTGCAAGCATTACACAGAATTTGAAAGGTTTCCCTAATCAAGGTCTCCAAACAAAACGGATTTCTTCCCATCTTGTTTAAAAAGCAAAAACAAAAATAAAATTTTGAAATTAGTTTCCCAAAGGAAGTTCTGCCACCTCAAGCGAACATTAAAAAAAGGCTCCTCATATCCTCAAAAGGTGGGGAACCACTATTTTATCTCATATAAAGTGACAGAGAGAGGGCAAGAGGGTAGTAAATTGTTCAACTCTCTAAATATTTCACTTTTCAAGGAGCACATCAACCCTACTCTAGTGAA